CCGTGCCGCAGAGGCAAGACTTGGTGTCGAAGTCCCATGCACCTGGGTGCCGGGTTGGAAACCCATGGAGAAAGCACCAAACATCCTGCGACGTGGAACCGTGGCGTGCTTGTTTCAAGACTAGGCTTAGCCAGGGGTCCACGCAACGTTGCTCGGTGGTCAACTCGAAGAGTGCGTGGATACCGGATTCAGTCCGCGACCACAAAACCTTTTGGAGCCCGGCCACCTGGCAGGAAGCGCCCCCGGCGAAGGGGTTTTGGAAAATGGCGGTGGCTTTCAGGGGTGGAAACTGCCAGAGATCGCCTGTCAGGATGAGGTTGAGGCCGCCGAATGGTCGCGCCTCGCCCCTGCCATTGTTCTTCCAAGTGCCTTTTGTTCGGGTGGCTTGGGCGACCTTTTTTTCGAGGGTGGCTAGGACTTCGAGGCCGACTGTGAAAATTTCGTCTAGCACGAGCCAACGCAACCGTTGGTATTGGACGAATTGGTCGGGCCCTCGCTCTCGTTCGCCGCCTCGGCCTTTGGCTTTGATGCGGATGTTCGCGAACGCATGCAGCGTCATGCCTTGAATTAGCGCGGCCTGGGTATTTTGAGGGGCTAGATAGACGAATTCCGTCTGGTGGCGCCACCTGCAGAGCTCTTCAAAGAAGCGTCGGAGCCACTTCAACGTTTGACTTTTTCCTGCGCCGGGGACTCCATGGCAAATCCCTCTCCATGGTTCGCTCTTGCCTATCCGCTGGGTCTGTTCCTCGGTGGTTTCTGTTAGGCAGCGGTTTATGATGGCTTGCAGGAACTGGCTCTGTTCGGGCGTGGGCACAGGCCCTGTCTCCGCCTGCTGCAAACTGCGGAGCCAGTCGGCCGCTGCTGTCTCGTTTAAATTCCCATAGATCCATCGCACGGCGGGCGGCCGCTCCGCCGCAGCTGCGCGACGCGCTGCCTCTGCAGTGTCGGCGGGTGGGAGTTCGGGTATGCCAGGGCTCACTTGCCAAGGAATCTGCTGAGCTGGTGTCTGAGTCCCCCAGGTTGCCAGAATTTGTTGCACAGCGGGATTGCTCCGTTTGGAGTACTCGAAACCAATGCCTTGGGTTAACTTTTGGACCGTGGCCACATCGACCCAAGACGTGTCAACTTCCGGGCGGGGATGGTCTACGGGGGCTTCTACTGGGTCCGTTTCTTCTGGGGAGCACTCGGCCGCGGCCAAAAAATTTTGGATCGTTCGTTTTGCATGGTGCGACACGATGTGGGAGCGAATGTATTCTCTCCATGAGGTCTGATGGTTTCGCACACCGGGAGAAATTTTAGTGTGGAAACGGTGGGTGGGCCTAT